TTTTAAGTGCGTGGCTGTGCTGAAAGGGGATTAAAAGGTCTCAAAAGTGTCTCTGCGTGCGGGGTGACGTTACCGGGACAGCCGTGCGTGCCGGTGCCGCAGCAGCCCCCGAAGGGAGCTCCGGGGCAGGCACCCGAAATCGGATCCGCTTGATGACTGTGCAGAGCTCGTCCCGTTCTTCCCGCTTTGGAGCCCGTAACGCTTCATGCAAACTATGGGCAAAAGTGGGTTTTGCTTGTTTGTTTTTTGTTGTGTTTTTTTTTTTTTCTGAAATGCCGCAGCTATATGACATAAAACATTTAATCCTTTCTTCTAGCTAAGGTTTATTTTTCCTTGTGAAAAATCCAGAGCTTAGGAAAGAAGAATGGAAATTACTTCGGGGCTGGTTCTCCAGCCTGCAGTTTTGTGTGCCACACCGACAGGTTTTCAACTCAACGTTTCAATCCCCAGAGCGGCGAGGGTCCGGCATTTCTCATCCAGGGAAACGGAGTTCAGTGGGGACGCGCCGAGGGTGCTTGGCGAGCTGCTGATCTGACTCTGCAGGGAGAGATGGTTCCTTCATGCTGCACCTACAATAGGTCATCCTGCTTCTAGATGACATAGAGGTCCTTGGAGCCAGCGTGTTTTTAATCTAGTCCTGCCTGGTGCATGGCAATTAATATTTATTGCAGTCTGGACTGAGTGATGCTATTTTTTTCCTGCTGTGCAGAAGACATGTTTATTTAATCTGCCACAGAAAAGAGTGGAACTTAGGATGAGCTTCAGAAAAGAGCTGGAAGCAATTAGTCATGTTATTTTACTGTGACTTAATTACCGTAACATTCAAATTGACAAAGAAAACATGGATGCTGCAGGAGGGGTTTGCTGCTAGATTTGAAAGGGAAGACGTCTGCATTAGAATGGACATGATGTGTTATAATTCACCTGTTTATTATTACTGACTTATACATTTAATCATCTATTTACTTAGGATGCACTGGACCGTGTGCCGTAGTATGAACACACGGCAATACACAAAATTAAACTGTCCTCAGATGCAAGCAGAACTCACTGCACATCCGCCATGGCCCTTGTGGGTCAGGGCCAGCACAAGCTTATGTGAGCCCAGATAAGCCCCCTGCAGCTCTCTATTCTCTGCTGACCCTGAAATGAGAGAGCAGGGAAAATTGTATCAACAGGAAGAACATAAGAATGACCACACGGGGTCAGCTCGAAGGTCCTTCTAGCCCAAAACGCATCTCAGACGCTATGTTTTTTTAATTCAGCTTGTATAAATTGCCTTTTGATGGCAATTTCAATGAAGAGGAGAGGTGATAAGTTTAACAGACGCCATAAACAGAAATCTAGGGAAGAGTAAGAACACAACGAGCCAAGGTGGTAGCTGACCGCGCTCCCATCCTGCCACTATTTGCTCTGCAGGAACTCCTGAAATAAAATAAAGGGAGAAAAGGGGGTGAGAGCTGAGCCAGACACAGCAGCATCCCCATTTCTTTTCAGGCATTCTAATGTAGTGATAATATTAATAGTCATAAAAGAGAGCATCTGCGCGTATCTCAGGGATCAGTTTGTATGCAATTGTATCTGGGCTTCGTGAGATGATGGCTACTTTGGGAAGCAGAATAGCTGATACAGATGTTTTATTTGCAGCTGCTCTATGCATAGGTTACTGACAGTGGGAAACGTAGTCATCCTTCTCCAAAGCACTGTGCCCATGAGCACCTCTGAAATCAGCTAGCTGATGAGGTTTACCGAATGTGCTACTACATTTTTTTGCACAACTAGTTTTCTGTAGGGTTTTTTGCGTGACTGACTTGCTTTTACTGCCTCTAGTTTAAGAGCCACATTCTGCAGCCATTTGCACTTTATGTCAACGGGAAGTCTGTGCTCAGGGGTGCTGGCAGAAGCCAGCTCCAGTGTTTCATAAAATAACATCTCAGTCCTTTTAGCATCTTGTCATTTTCCTGTTTTGTTTAATTCCTGTAACTGTCTTCATATGAAACCCTGAAGCTGCAATGTACATTTTGGTTTTCTGTTACAATGCTTGTTTTTGTAGCGGGAAACGTAATCCTTCAAATGCCTGTGTTTAAGAGGATGCAAATCAGCTTGCTAGCACAATGCCTTGGGAACGTTTCTTTCATGCAAAACCCAGCGAGATAAATAAGGAGGGGAGGAGGGAGAGGGAAAAGAGATTGTTTGCTTCTATAAACAACAGGAATTAATTATGTTCAGTAAATGACAGATGGGTTAAGATCAAAATCTGAATCTTTCTCAATGTGGGTGAAATCTACACTCCGATCTCCGAGTTGCATCAAAACCCATTGCACAGCCTGTCCGGTGCCATGGGGCAACGATGGGGTGTGATGACAAGAGCTGTGACTTGTGGCTGTCCTGGCAGAGAGTGCCAGGGCCAGCATGCCTGGCACCACCGCCTGCCACTGTGGGATGCAAAATACCTCTGCTGTGAATCTGAAGTGTCTCTGGACCACATCTGCTCCATCAGGGAAACACCAGCCTATTGCCAACCCTGTTGCAGGGCACAAAAAAGGTTATTGCTTCCTGGTGCTTTCACCACCCTGAGCTGCAGTTGGAAAAGGGACCAAACTGAATCCTGGTTTAGTGCAACCAACTGTAGAACACAGTGAAACGTGTTTGAAAGCTCACAGGGAGCAGAAAAACTCCATGATATAAAGGCATTTGTCTGATGGCGATGACTTTGCACTCAACAGCTGTACATATGCTTATATATGTCCGAAATTATAAACTTGGAAGGAGTCTCTGCTGTCCCAGTTTCAGCCTTGCATAGTGTGCTGTAAGTGCAGGAGGGGATAACCGAGGACACGTACAGCTCATATCACTGGGCACTTGCACAGCCAGGAAGATTGTGATAATTTGAGAATAGGTGAAATCAAGGAATTACTTCTCCCTGCTCCCCCAAGCATTTGGGGAGATCTGCTCTCCTTGTTTGTCCCCAAATAAGAGTTGTGTCCAAGGATTCTGGAAAGAAAATCACTGCTTTCCAGCTCCTGTTCCCACCTCTGCTAGAGAACTACTGGGTGATCTGAGAAAAGTCATTCTGCCACTGCTTCATTCTCCCTCCTTCCACCCTGCCATTACAGGGAGGTTTGGCAGTCAATTATTTCACATTCACAAACCCATTTTCAAACCTTTTTTGAAAGCAAGTGATAGAAGTGCAAATTCTTATTATTGCTCTTGAAGAGCTTTTTGCAAAGATGCTTGTTAATGAGCTTGCTTAATGAGCTTTCTTAAATCTATATTTATATTCTATATACAGCTGTATATAGATAGAGCAGTGCCTAACATACGTATGGATTGCACACACATATGCCTAGGAAAATGAAGGCTGATTAACACACATCTTTTCTAGTTATTACTGTGCAAGTATTTATTTCTTTTTCCTTGCAAATTGGAGAGATAAAAGATCCATTCTGGAATAAAATAATTTTGTGCATATGTGCTAGATGGTTTTGTTTATGAGACTGAAGTGTGTGAGTGTGTATGTGAGACAGATGGGGTGTCTGTTTGTGAAAGATACGATGCGTGGATGAATGTGTGTAAAAATACAGGTTTCTTAAGAGCTATTCTTTCTTTTCCTTGTGGTTTTTTTTTTTTTTTTTTTTTTTAAGAAAAGACAACATAACAAATGTCTGCTTGGTACATTATTTCACCATGTCATGCTCTTTGTCACTATGAGAGGAGTATTCCTGCAGAAGGCGAAGCTGCCCCAGAAAGTGAAGGGTGCTGCCCCTGGGGTTTCGAGCTGGGCATCGTGAATTCTCTTCAAGTTTTCAAAGTCCTGGAAAGTTTTGATAAGCAAATACATTCTGGGCTCTGCTTCTCTATTGGCTGTTTCTTCACCGCCAGATTTTGACACAAATAATCTGATTGAAAAATCAGGGAGGGGAACAGGGGCAAAAACACAGAGAGAGAGAGAAAAAAGGAGAAGTATCTATTTCAGCAGACTGCTACTAAGTGAAAAAGTAGAAGAGGAGTCCAGAGAGAAGACATCGTCTCGCTTGTCTGGGGAGATTTCAAGGCGAATCCAGTAAAGCAAAGTCCCCCAAACAGGTGATTGATTTATTCTTTTAAGCACTTTTAATTTCATTGTTTTTCTAATTTCTCTGATATGTTTCTATAAACTTTTCCTTCTTATTTGTTTGTGCAAATATGTAACATATTCCACTGCATAAGTCACTTGTCCTGAGGATTCTTTTATGATAATGGTTCACTTAATTCAAATGAGTCAAACCTTTTAAAATTATATGCCATATACTTACTTCACTTTCACCTATGAAAATGGTAATAGTAGGGCAAAATATAAAAGATGTGACAATGGTCTCAGATACCTGTGTCCCAACAAGCTCCATGTAGCAGGAACAGTTTCCAGATGTAGACTTTCATACTTAGGCATTGAGAAGAAGACAGAATATATTTTTCCTTTGAATTGCTCTTTTACAGGGCCAGACTTCTAAATTCAGAAAACAGCACACCTCTGCTGACATCACTTAATCTATGCCAATTTAGCTAGATGAGAATTCAGTCTCTCTTGTTTAGGATTTTTGCTTCGAATCTTTTATTTTAATATTTTCCCATCCTTTCTAAGTATATGCTTATTAGTGTAACAGTTTTTAGCATATGGAATTAGCTATTTATAGCTGTTCCTCATATACCACCAGATTGATTCAATACATTAAGCAGGAAAACAAACGATTTGCGAGTTCACACAGTAAGTGCATGTATACATTAAGGGGATATAGAATTTGTCAAATTGTGCTATATGAGTCTATTTATCCATGGAAGCCTAAGGCAAAGTTTGCTAAAGCCAGTGGCATTCTCAACATCACTAGGAGCTAAATGAGGTTTCTGAAGAACAAATGCTGCAATTATATTCTAAGCATTTTTTTCTAGATACTACAGATGGTACAAGCATTTCCATTCCACTTCTTGGACAAGATTTCTACCATAATTTGCTAGCCTTGCCATAATGTCCATTTGCCCAGTCTTACCATAAGAATGAAAAACATTCTGCTCGTTTTTCCACTAAAAAAGCCGCATTCAAATTACTTGTCCCAAGTACATTTGATTTTGCAAGGGTGGACTAGTGAAGACATGATTAATTTTGTTGCAAAGAACTGAAATTCTTTTTGAATATGATCCTATATTTAAAGAGTCCATGAGACCTATTATTTGGGCTCTTAAAAATTTCAGATGCAGGTTGTGTTCCGTTTTGTACTTTTTTCTTCAAAAATGTCATCTTCCAAGACAGACTATTCTTTATTTTTGGAAGCTTCACTTTTGCCAAAAAGCAATATTAAGACTTAAATATAAATTAAGCAATGGGAAGGAAATAAGCCTCTTTTAGCCTAAAACTTTCCACACTCATCAACTTACATGGACATGTATCAGTTGTGAGTTAAAATTAAGTATTTCCGCTGAGTGTAGTGTGAAAAAGGGGTTTGATCTCTACAATTAACCTTGTAAATTTTGAAATTCATGGTTACCTGAATTTAGAGGAAAATGAAAGCCAGCTTTACAATTGAACTTATGCTGCAAATTGGGTTCCTGATTCAAGTACAATCCTGCAAACACCTGCTCTCAAGTATGGTGTTTCATGTTATGAATCATCTCACTGAAGGAACCAGAGAGAACAGCTCTATAATCTAATTCAGTGAGAATATGAATTTCTTCTAAATTAGATCAAAGGGCCCAATCCTGTATTTTTAGGTACTGGGCTTCATGAGGAATGTAGGGTCAAGAGAAATTAGGATCCTAAAGTCAGAAACCACCCCCTAAAAAAAACCCTTTTGTTTCCTGCACAATCTCCAGCGTTTCAGTATTATATTTGTTTTACATGTGATACTCTGCAAAATTACCAGAGAGCATCACTTAGGATGAAGGATCTTCGAGTTTGAACATAGGAAGGGAACATGCAACTGCTGGGTCTGCTTTCAGATCTGACTGGGGAATTTATAGCTGGTAAAAGAAGCTCGTCTAAGGTGCTTCAAGTTAGGTACCCAAAATAGTGAAGCAGGTTTTTTTTCCCCTCTTAGATCCTTTTGGCTGTCTTTTCCTCAGGGCACATTACTACATTATTGTGCAGCTACAAAAATGGCAAACAAGTAAGAATGTCACTTCTAGCCAGCTACTGATTTTTTTATTCTGTACTGAATCCAAAAAATGCCACGACACTTGCGTTTTGGGTGAGCATTCCTGCCCGAGCAATGAGCTCCCTTTTGCACTTGCCAGTCAAGGTAGAAACTGCTGCCACAGGGGCTGGCAAAAACAGACTCCATAAAAATAAAGTTGAATTTGTAGCAAAAGTTTGAAGCTAAATTCTGTCGGAAGCTTCAATGACTTGAAGATGTAGCGGGGTCTGCTGTCCATAGCTCTACTCCCCCTGTTAGCCATTAGTAGCAGCTGATCACTTGCAGCTGATAATGTTGAGTTTCAAGGAGAGTGAGCATTTTTTCCTCTCACAATCTGTGCTTCTAGCTTTCCTCTAACTCAGTGGTGTGAATCACATAGGCAGTCCAATGCAGTTGTTAATTAACTATGTTTGGGCTCCCAGTTCCTGTTTTCTCTGTGAAATGGTGTGGGGGAAGGTAACTTCCTTTTATAACGTTCAGTAGTGCATTAAAGATCGTTGTTCTCAGTAGAGGCCCTTATCACCAGTCAAGATACTGGACCAAATTTGACTTTTACATATGCTGGGGCAAACACATCCAGAAAAATCCTGTTGATTCATGCACCTATACTTTTTACTGCCATCACAGAAGAGAGGCTGTGCTTGGTGCCTGTGTGTACTTACCATACGGGTACTACCATAAAACACTGCAACATTGCTTATGCCACCCATCTCCAGTCCTCTAATTTATCTGGCTAAGCTGTCCAGCTAATGCCATAGGGTCCTCTAGCCGGTGGGCACAGAGAGCCTCTTCCAGCAGGCACTGCTGGGTGCAAGCTTCACCCTACATTCAGAGTTACCCACTGCTGGAGCCTCTTCCTTCACTGCAGAGGAAGCCCTTGGAAATTAACTGGTTAATTCAGGCAGAGAAATCAGATGTCTCAAGCTTGCTGGTATGAATATCATCCATTGTGGACACAGTCCTGCCCCACCACATGGGAAAATCCCTTTGACATGAGTGGAAATTCCAGGTATAAAGGGCTTGTGACAGGACTTGAACTTGGGGCATGTCTATATTGCTGAGTAGCCCTCAGAGCTAAGCAGTTCTGCTAGGATGCGAGGTGCACAGGCTAAGCAGAGCACACTGCTAGAAGGTTATGCCCACCACAGAACATTCCCGTGTGTGTACCAAGCTGGAGGTATTTCTGTGCCCCCACCCAGCCTTTTGCCAGGCAGAGATACGCTTTATGATACTTAGAAGGAACCTCACTGGGGAGTTACAGGAGAGTAAATACAGTCATGTACCTCAGCGTCCGTTCCCTCAAGGGCATACTTATGGTTCATTCTCAGCACTGTTTTGTCCTCTTTCTAAAATTAAATTAACAAATCTACTCTTGGCCTCTGTTTTCTCTTACTCATCTCAAGTTACATGCAAATTTATTGGAAAAAGATGTAGAAAACAACTGAGTCATTTCAGAAGAAAAAATGGCTAAAGACACCGAGAGTTGTCCCTAGAGTCATAGAAGAAACAGTGGGAATCCTGGACCAGATTTAAAAAGCCAGCTAAGCTAGAACTGCATTTCCAAGGGTGGCTGGTCTGGTGAGCATCTGACTCCCACCAACACCGGTGGCCTTGGCAATCTACCTGTCCACAGCAGACTTGGCTGTGTGAATTCCATGATACACACACCTGCAGCCATAGGCACTACTGTAAATCTGCCCCTTGGACCTTAAACAAAACACTACTGGGCTATGTAATTATATTTAGCATGTAGGGGTGAGTGCAGGCACTTCTGACCCCTAGGGAGAGAACTTTTCTGTCCCTGGCTGTTTGGGATTCCAGGAGCCCACACTGCTCTATCCTTACACAGACATTTCAGGCCATTCCTACTTAACAGGAATAAACTTTGTTCTTTTTTAGTAAATAAGTAGGCTAGTCTTCAACTGCTCTCAGGAAAATAAACAGCTTAATAATGCACTTTCCCATCAACAGAGAACCAGGACGTACTGCTGACTTTTCATATGAAATATAGCAAGATTTGCTTTTAGTGCTCCTATCCTGAACAATTACAAGGGAAAATGCAAATACATATGCAAATAACACGCCAGCTGATAGTCCCGTACACAGCATCGAGCTTGTCATGCTGCCTACAAGAGAGCAGTTACTAGCCACGGGGAGCGGGCACAGGGCGGGCTGGGTTCTGGGTAGTAAAGATAACAGATGCATTGCAAGAGAATTTTGTATGATTAAATTTCAGCATTTTGTGTTTGTTCCTAACCCGTCATTTCAACGGTCTGTGATATTTGAGTCAGATCCAAAAGGTAACCTCTCTCACCCAGCACTTCTGCTCTGCCTCTGCTTGACTGGTGTTTGTCACCCACTATACAAAATACTCAAGCTACGGCCAACACGAAGGAAACCCACTGCACAGCATGGCTGCTGGGGTTTTCCACTGCCTCTCTCCTATCATTGATGCTGTTTCTATAACTATTATTTGCGTAGCAATTTCACATAGGAGCCCATGTCATGGCTTGGGACTGCTCTTCTAGATTAGTATGAACACTAAGACAGGCCCTTTCTCAAAGAGGTGGTCTCTAACCCATGGTCCCCACTGTGTCCTCTCAGGGAGGGTAAGATCAGAGATTCACCATGCCCTGTAGCCAGAGCAGAGAGATAGAAGAGAGATTCTAGGTTCTGATGTATCTTTGCCACAGAAACAGTTTTGGTCTATAACACAACACTCAATTTAATCATGCCTCTATTTCTCTGCCTACAATATAAAGACAGCAGTGATCCTTTGCCTTAACCTCGTGGTAGATTATGAAGTGTAATTTTTATGTAGTACACTGTAATCTGCAATCCCATCTTTGATCTGCAGTCCCATCTTTACATTCAGTGGCAGAGACTATCTGGCAGTTTTTGTTTTGCTTTGCCCCCTCCACAGCTGAGTATTTTCCCCAGAGTTGAGATCCATCAAGCACCTAAACCCAAGCAAGTACTCCCTGCTCTTCAACTGGGTGGAGGGACCTTTGAGATGAACTCTGTCTCCCCAGTAGAAGGGTTTTAATTCTCATCATTGCTGCGTACAGAGCTGATGCGCTGGGGGAACAAATGAGAAACTTCCCCCTAAACTGCAGAGCTTTACCTGCTGTTATTCTGTTTCTGCCCAGGCAGTGAATGGAAAATGCCACGTTCCTTTTTGGTGAAGAGCAAAAAGGCTCATACCTATCATCAACACCGCTTTGTGGAAGATGACCTGCCTATACTCACGTGGGATCCAGTAACCTCTCCCTTCACTGGTGAGTCAATCCATTCACTGGGCTTGTAAGAATACACCAAGGCAAATCAATAATTGAGTACGTGAGCTAAGGGCTCCCACATGGGCATGTCAGTCTAAGGACAAACCGATGCCCCACAGTGTGCCCTCTTTCTCTAGGCCAAATCCACACTGTCCCACTGAAACTGAATTTAGATCCTCCCTTTGTTTCCTGCTTAGTTGCTGGGGAGATTTGAGATATAAGATTGCTGTGTGGAGTTGGTCACTTTTGGGAAAGATGGCCAACTTCAGGCAACTAACAGTTGGGAAAAGAACGTGCACTTCGTTGTCAATCTTCTACGAACTCACAGCTCTGCCACCTTGATCTCCTGCTAGCTATGTTCACTGCCCATATTCTCTCTGGACCTACATCTTCACTACCTCAGTGTGTTACCAGTTCTTCCTGATGATTTGCAAGGAAAGTTACAGCTAGAGTGCGAAAATATTAGTGATATCCTAACACTGACTGTGAAAGGAGTCCTACACACTCACGGGTGAAGGGCTGGCGGCTATATACCATATTAACACCAACCAACACTCCTTCTGCCTATGCCGGCTGTCCTCCCTCTGCTCCTGGTCATGCTATCCCGCAGCCATCCCTGCAGCGGCAGCGCTGGGCAATTATCTTCTTCCTTCAGGCACCATTCAAATTTTATTTATTCAAATCTAGGATCAATTTACCCTTTGTTCTAGCCCTGGCTCTCAAATTAGAGTCTAGCCCTATGATAAGTTTGATAAAGAAAGGAAGTGACATTTTCATTTCAATTCCTGCCATCATCCTTTGGCCATTTTTTGTATCTCTCTGAAGCGCAAGAGAGTTTGGACGACAAACGAATACTGTCCTTCAGCAGTCCAGTCCTATCTCCAGCAAAAAGGAGGCACATGTATCGGACCTCTGTCCATTTTAGATTCTATGAAGTCTACTTCTAACAAGTGCTAGTTGGTCTCTTTAAGGGCTGAGACAAGCATGGACAAATGGGACTGTGGGCAGGAGGAGACAAGGCTCTGTGGTCGCCTTTGCAATTGCATAAGCAGTTACCTCCCCTCTCTGCTTCCCTACTTGGCTGTCCATAAATTCAGGTTAACAATACCGAACCTCTCAGGAGAGGGGTGGGGAGGTTAATAAGTTAGTGATTGTTAGTTACCCACACAAATGAAAATGGTTTTAAATAGGGAAATGATTCTTACAGACATGTGACCTTCTAGGGTTAATTTTCTCTAACTATATAGGGTATCAAGTGTCCTATCATTTCTTCCTGTCCCCCTCTACCTTGCCTATCTCATCCTGCTTGGAATTTCCCTTTGTCAGCAATGGGCAGACATTGATTGCTGTGCTGATTGCACCACTCTGCACTTACTCAGGGAATTGAACGTGGGCTCATGTATCCAAGCATGAGTTCATACATAAGTACAAAACCCACCTTAATAGACTCTTAACAGCTAGAATAAACTAACTGTGACTCTACTGTGTGATTACAGCCATAGGAGACAAGACAGCAGAGGACATCAAGAAACAGGACCTTCAATGTGTGGTTCCAAAACAAGAAAAGGACCCATCTGAACTGAAAGAAGAAAATGTCCCTGTCCAGTACCTGAACAGGATGCTGCCAGGCCCTTCAGCTCAAGGTCTGCTACCTAAGACCACAATTGCAAAAGATGTCAGGGCTGGGCTGGTTTATGGAGCCCTTTACAACTGGGTCCAGATTTTCAGTAAATAGCAGCTCTTATTTTGACTTCAGTGGTCAAACTTGTCCCAGGCAGAGCTCATCAAGAGCATTCTGTATTTCCCTTTATGCTTCTGGTCTAGATCAGCATCTCCCTGAAGGATGATGCTATGATTCCTAACAAGTGAGCCTCCAAATCTCAAGGACTAATGCAACTCTGCTCTATAGGTGAAGGCAGGTGACCACATGATACTCAAACACCACATGAAGCAGGGGTAGTAGTGTGGTTAATATTCCCTTAGCATCCTCTCTTCTCTAAAATTTCCTCAGATTGAAATCAAAGTCATAATAGGAATTTTGTACGGGGATCAGGATTTGAACCAAAGGAGGAGGCGTTACCAACTGCAGCTCCCAAGCTCAGGCAGGACATTAAATGGGGGAATGGTACCTGTGGAGCTTTTTAACTGGTGCTGAGCTGCAGGCAATGGCATGACACTCACTTCTCCCTCTCCTTTGCAATCTCAGAGATGGCCATCCCAGGTCTGCAGATCAAAGACTGCACTAACACGACAAGCACCCCTACCTTCTACAAAACCGGCTTTTCTTGGGATGCTTTCCATTTGCCATACAGCTACCGACAGATGTCTTCCACCATGCAGTCAGCCCTCTTGGAGCATCCAGTTAGCCTGTACGGAAGCCACCTCCTTCCAAGCGCCGAGCCCCCTCTAGATTACAGCATGCATTACTCCTCGGACATGGAGACCTACCACTGTGTGAAGTGTAACAAGGTGTGTCACAGGAGAACCTCAGGGATGGGGAAAGCCTGGAGTGATTTTCATTGCACACATCAGTGTTTCACTGGGTTACGTCAAAGTGCAATCAATGCATGCAGCTCAAAATGGGTACCTATTTCTCCTCTTCACTGGGGACAAGGGTGCTAGGAACGAGGCAGTTCACATGGCCCACGAGAGGGAAGAATCAAATAAAGGGAAGGAATTGAAAACAGAAATGGAGACACAGCTGCCTCACGTCAAAAAATCACTGGCATGTTGTTTTGCAGGTATTCTCCACCCCCCATGGACTGGAGGTCCATGTCCGAAGGTCACATAGTGGGACCCGGCCCTTTGCTTGTGAAGTATGTGGCAAAACCTTTGGACACGCTGTAAGCCTGGAGCAGCACACCAATATTCATTCCCAGGTGGGTAGCATGTTTCTGGAGAACCAGAGTGCTTAGACCTTAGCTGTTGCTTACTCCACTATAAAGGAAGTGACATTTCCTAGGTTGACATGATGGCCTTCCTGTAGTGCCCAAAGACAGGAGCTCTGAAGACCATAGATTATAGAACTTGGTCTCACAAATCTCAGACTGCCCTTGAGAATTCCTTGGATGGGAGTGGAGGATCATTGCTACTGGTTCTGCTATGCCTTGCCTCCTCCTAAAGGGCACAGGAGCTTGGATCACAAGCTGTAATCCATTTCCATAAGTAACCTTCCCTACATTCTCTTTGTACCGCACCTAGCGTTATCAGTCCATGTGCCAAGGAGATTTGCTTATCAAATCTACTATTCTCAATGCCCTTAACACTCTTCAAGCTCTGTCACATGTCTTGCAGCCACAGACATCCCATGATTTTCTTTCCGTAACAGGAAAGAAGTTTTGAGTGCAAGATGTGTGGGAAGACATTCAAACGTTCCTCCACCCTCTCCACTCATCTACTGATCCACTCAGACACACGGCCCTATCCCTGCCAATACTGTGGCAAGCGCTTCCACCAGAAGTCGGATATGAAGAAACACACTTACATCCACACTGGTGAGAAACAAAATATTCCTAATAAGCGTTTGCAAATTAGAGTCCATCATGTTGATATACATACATAGTCCTCAGACACAGAAATATTGTACTGGGAATAAGTGTCCAGAGGCACTGGAAATTCATTCTTCCCTGTGCAGTAAGACAGCAGAAAGTCTGAGCCTCACTGAGATGCACATCCTCCTCTGTGCAACAAGGTGGTGGTTGTTGACCAGCCTCTGGTACATGTATGGTTGTACCCAGCCCTGGATGCAGACAGGGCATGGGTCACACCACTGGAGAGGAATGCCTCTGGTTCTTCTCACCCTCTGGTGCTGGATCAGAGTGCAGATACTAGCAGGACGGCTGGGCTGGCAGCACCCTGATGCTCAAGCATAGCCAGTCAGGGGCATTTCTACCTCCCTTCTCTCATTTGTTGAAGCGTTTCTTATCATTTTCTCTGCCCTGCAGGGGAGAAGCCCCACAAATGCCAGGTATGTGGAAAAGCCTTCAGCCAAAGCTCCAACCTCATCACTCACAGCCGCAAACACACCGGCTTCAAGCCCTTCAGCTGTGAGCTCTGTGCCAAGGGCTTCCAGCGCAAGGTGGATCTACGGAGGCACCGAGAGACCCAACACAGTCTTAAGTGAGGAATGGCTCCAGGTCTTTGCTGGAGCTCCCGCTGCCAGTGCATGCTCCAGGGAAGAAGATTCTCCCCAGCATCTCCATCCAGTGTGGGGCTGCCCACCTCACAAAGCTCATATAGCTTCCTGTGCTCCTCTGGAAACTGGCAAAGTCATGTCATTGGCTTTGGCGTTCTGACACCCCAGGACCTTGCACATCCCAGCAGGTGACAAAGAAGCCGGTGGGAGCTCTCACTTTTCAATTACAGCCCACATCTGACATCACCTGCTCAAGTGCAAATCCAGAGGAATTCCTCCAAGGTCACTATTACTCTGAATTTACACCATATGCAGAATTCAGTTCATCAGACCGACTAGCAGTAGACTAGTGGCAGCAACAATCTGTGCCAAGCTGGTGCCGTGTTCTGCTTTGATGGTTAGGAAGATAAGGCCAGGGCATGCAAATAGACTGCATTCAGTGAGCTGTGTTCAACCTGGACAGGGCTTCTGCAGAGACTTGCCCAGGTCATAAATTCTGGCAACAGACATCTAAAGTAATTTTCTTTCAGCAAAGCATTTACTGTGATCAAATGACAAGTTAACTGTGTTGTATTTTTAGCTTGGAGTGGGAGGAAAATACTGAAAAAACAGCTCCTATCCTTAGCTAACAGAGGTCTCTCAATGCATTCCTTGTACAAACCACACTAAGATCCCTGGTTAGCAGCAACCAGGTGAGCTCCAGCAGGAAGAGCCATGCCACAGCACGGGGCATAAGCTAATAAGCCCCATGTCTCAGTACTGTGTGAGAGAGACTGGCTGCTCTTGGAATCCAGGCTGGTATGTCCCACAATATTTCACTGCATGCTGGACATACCAGCTTAGAGTTGTCCTGTCTCACTGCACGGCCAGGAATGGCCCTTGGATTTCAACGTCAAGGGCCAGAGTTCAGCTTTCAGCCGCTCTCTTAAAGGAGGAAGTGACCTTGCCTGTACATGTTGCCATAGTATGCAAGTACCTTACAAACATCATACAAACAGAGCAGTGGTATTTCCTCCTTCTGCCAGGTCTAGGGGTCAGAGAAAAGCACTGGAACAAGTAAAGAGCCAAGCTCTGCTATGTTCTCAACATATAACCTTTGGCAAGTCACTGCACTGGACTTTTATTTCTCCACCCGTCCTAGTGATGTGGAGTCATTCACTCAGGTTTGTAGAGTCCCTCGAGTTCCTAACAGGAAGGACAAAGTATTATCATGGCATTAAAGAGACAAGGGCTTTCAGTTAAGCAGGGCACTGTAGCAGTGCACAGCCCACTCCATAACTACATCCCTGAACACACGGCCTTGGACAATGACACCAGTGGGAAGTAGCCTGGAGAACGGGCTGTGGCACTTGCCATAGCAGTCCAAATGCTTATGAAGGAAGGCTGTCATCATGGGCAAAGCAGAAACAGTCCAAGTGGAAAATTCGTTAATTGCCAGGAGAGGTCTGTCCCACCCTCAGTTACACTGCTGTAAATCCAAAGCTGTTCTCCCAACTAAGACCTAAAATGTACTTGCCCCTGTGCCAGTCATTAATATGCATTCTGGAAGCTCAAAACAGAGTCTGTACTCCTGGCTTTACTTGTACACTGTAAATATGTATTTATACTCATTCTAATGTATATTTTTATTGCACTGTACCAGACAGTGGCAGCATGTACAAGCCTGTTGGGATTTATCTGATAAATCTGTTCCCTCTTGGTAACTGGGCTAACTCAATGTATTTCATGTTAAAACATCCATTTCAAGAAAGGCTCGTACGTGGCTGCGGAGAGGCAG